ATTTCATAGGTTGTGTTAGCTGTGCTTGTACGCAAACACACAAAATTGACCCCCAATTTCATTTAAACCAGAGTTAATAAATTCAGGTTGAAGGGATGGTGTGTGTTGTGTGTTTGCTCTGACTTGGGGAATAATGTGTAAAGGATTAAGAATTACTTGGTTACAGCTTTAGCTGCCAAGTTAGGCCAAATCCAATAGCCTGATTAATGCTCGCTTCTTCAGAGCCTTTTGTGGTTGGAAAGGCTCAGACAAAATATAAAAATCTATTAATTATTGTAGGTATTGTATTCATGTAAGATCTTTCTAAGTCTTTTATTACCATTGTAGGCATTCTTGTAAGCTCCCCCTGTGCCTGCAAATCATTTGCTTATTTTTATATATTATGTTTTGTGTCATTTTACTGTTTCATAGCCAGTGTGTGTGTAAAATTTAACGTGAAACCACAGCTGTTGATTTTCTTCTCCTATCTTTAGATGTATGGTTGCATTTTCCACAGTGTGCCACCTTCTGTTAGGTACATCCATGTGTGTTTGCTTGCTCTGTTGTTACCATACATATCAAAAGGAAAGCATTATACATAGAAAATTTGGAGCATGATTTGGCAAATTTCCATAGCATGTGTCAAGGGCTGCGTGCACATCATAAGCACCCTTCCTCTTTGTTCAAACAGGAACTGTGTGCAATTACATGCACGATAGGCGATAATTTCCCCTGAAGTAGGTTATTAAAGCAAACACTGGCTTATTGCAGACCTGCCTTTACTCTGAAGGCGCTACTGTGGAGAAGGAGCCCTTTGCTAATCTGAACCTCACCCAGCAAAGCAAAATGTGATTTTGCGTAGAATTCTATATGCAAATAGAACTTTTTATATCTCTCCCTCCATCCACAGGGGTTCCAACAGGATTTTCTGGGTCCAATATATGTCCAATATATGTTGACTGGACCCTCTGACCCACTCACAAAAGAGACCATAGATGTGCATACAATTTGCATATGCCATGCGTCATATGCAGATTTGTCTCTTTTGTAGGTGGACTGGAGGGGCCCCCAAATAAATCAGTGGCCACACATGTAATAAAATGTCTGACAAACAGAATGTGAATGGGTGAAGGTTTTCAAATGATTGCATTTCCATACTAACCTGTTGAATTTCTGCTTGCCGCACAGCTGGTAAAGACACAAAAGCCTAGGCTACCATCCTGTGCCCTAGCAGTAAGCCCCATTAACACTTCCGAGAAAACATACATGCCTAAGCCACTTTGCAAATTTTTCACATTTCGCATTTGCCAGTTTGGAGGGAGATTCTTTAGCACCACCAAGCACATGATGTGTAATACAGTGGTACCTCAGGTTAAGCACTTAATTCGTTCTGGAGGTCCGTTCTTAACCTGAAACCATTCTTAACCTGAAGCACCACTTAGCTAATGGGGCCTCCTGCTGCTGCCGCGCCGCCGGAGCACAATTTCTGTTCTCAGCCTGAAGCAAAGCTCTTAACCTAAAGCACTATTTCTGGGTTAGCGGAGTCTGTAACCTGAAGTGTCTGTAACCTGAAGCGTATGTAACCTGAGGTACCACTGTAGAAGGGTAAACTATGGAGATTCCAAGGGCAACTAGAAAATAAGACAGAAGCAAGAAAGGGACACTAACGGGGAGGGGGGGAAACCAGCCCTTTAAGACTCCACGGATTCTTATCACCTGTTTAAGAGGCATAACAGTTTCCCCACATCCATATCAATCTGACAACTAGAGAAAAGAGGTCTATGCCATTCAACTTTCATCTGTCTTTACCTGATGCAGGGATTCCCTGGGCAGGATTTGACTAATTAGTTCCATCAGTGGAAAAATCTGTGCATGGACTTCTGGACTTCTGCTTTTGCAAAGGAGCTTTCCCCTGTCCTCTCCCCAGTATGCCCCCTGAAATTGGTCAGGCTGAAATGGGTCAGGAGAACCTCCGGGGACAATGTGCAGGAGGGAGGAGAGGAGGGGCCGTGTTGTCTAGCAAGTCAAGAAGACAAAACAATAACCTCAGCACAAAGCTGAATCCCTTCCCATGGCTTCCCCCCTCTTCTATAAGCATTCTCCTCCTTCTTTTAACCCAGGGGTCAGCAACCTTTTTCAGCCGTGGGCTGGTCCACCATCCCTCAGACCTTGTGGGGGGCTGGACTATATTTTGAAAAAAAATATGAACGAATTCCTATGCCCCACGAATAACCCATAGATGCATCTTAAATAAAAGGACACATTCTACTCATGTAAAAACATGCTGATTCCCGAACCATCCACAGGCCAGATTGAGAAGGCGATTGGGCCGCATCTGGCCCATGGACCTTAGGTTGCCTACCCCTGTTTTAACCCATCAGTTATGCTGGCCACCACCATTTCCCTACTGCTATCATCTGTGACAAAGAACTGGACATTTACAACAAGAGTGGCTAACTTGTGGCCCTCCCTATGTTGCTGGACTCCATCTCACAGTGGCTGCAAACCAGCATGGCCAGAGGTAGTTCAACAACATCTGATTTACAATAAAAATGGCAGGTTGTTGTCAGCCCCTTTTCTACAGCTCTGCTCTCTCCTTCCTCTTCCTGTTCCCGACATGTGTGTCATTCTCAGTGGCGTAGTGTGGGTTATCAGCACCCGGGGCAAGGCAAGTAATTTGCACCCCCTAACCCGTGGATTTTAGCACTCGAGTCTCTTCCGCGCCCCCCCCCAGATGTTGCGCCTGGTGTGGCCGGCCCCCCTGCACCCCCCACGCTACGCCACTGGTCATTCTCATTCTGGAAGAGGCAAGGCTTTTTAAAAGGTGTTTGACATCAGCTAGATGAAACTTTAAAAATAATTATGCGTTATGAAACTAAGCCCAAACCCTCAGGGTTCTTACTAGCGAAAATATCATTATACAGGGAGGAGGGGCAGAGCTGTCAGCTGCAAAAGCACCCTGTGCTGAGAGTCTGTATTATCATTATTTCATTAATGTGTAATAGTCGTTATGGTTGATTGCTTTCATTCATGTTGTGTAGTGTTTTCTTCTTTCTATTTTATTGACATTTCACAACCCTTATGAGAATCAATTGGAAAAAAGAAGGAGGAAGGCATTGGGAAAGTTAGGCTCAACAAGAAATATGTTTCAAAGGTGGAACTGAAACAAGTCTAGTCTTTCATTTACCTTAAAGCCAACATAACAAAAAGATGGAAAAGCCAAAGCAGGCATGTACAGGAGATGTGGCTTTGCGGTAGGAACACTTGCCAAACTTGATAGACTGTGGAAACATGAGACAAGAAGATCTCACCTGAAACCAAGATAAAATGGTTTAGGTCACATGCGATTTCAGTTATCCTTGATGAAGGTGGAACTTGAGTTTTATCAGCAGCAACTGAAGGGAGTACCGCATTTTTTGCTCTATAAGACTCACTTTTTCCCTCCTAAAAAGTAAGGGGAAATGTGTGTGCGTCTTATGGAGCGAATGCAGGCTGCGCAGCTATCCAGAAGCCAGAACAGCAAGAGGGATTGCTGCTTTCACTGCGCAGTGATCCCTCTTGCTGTTCTGGCTTCTGAGATTCAGAATATTTTTTTTCTTGTTTTCCTTCTCCAAAAACTAGGTGCGTCTTATGGTCTGGTGCGTCTTATAGAGCGAAAAATATGGTAATTTGAGCTTGTGAACACAATTTCCCTCAATATACACAATTTTACAAGCAACTTCCCCTATATAGTGTATTTTTGCATGCTATTTTCATGAAGATATGCATTTTCTGCACTCTTTCGTCCAATATATATGGGAGCCAGTGTGGTGTAGTGGTTAAGAGCGGTAGTCTCCTAATCTGGGGAACCGGGTTCTCCGCTCCTCCACATGCAGCTGCTGGGTGACCTTGGGCCAGTCACACTTCTGTGAAGTCTCTCAGCCCCACTCACCTCACAGAGTGTTTGTTGTGGGGGAGGAAGGGAAAGGAGAATGTTAGCCGCTTTGAGACTTCTGAAGGGGAGTGAAAGGCGGGATATCAAATCCAAACTCTTCTTCTTCTTCTTCATTTCTATATACATTGCTTGGCTAGAGAACTGCATTGCAAAATTCAGAGCAGTGTGAATTTTGAAGGATAATGTCCCACTTTTTCTTTTTCCTCCCCTCCATGTTTTGGAGAACAAATAAAAGTGGTGTGTTTTTATATGTAAGGTGCAAAAGCTGACTCCTGTTTCTACATAGAATAAAATCCCTGCACCAAATGAAAGGAATGGTGAAATTGGCATTCATAGTAAGATGTAACCAATCCACTTTAAATTATTTAATAGCAATGCTTCTGCAGCCAGCCAGGTATGGAGGGTTGCAACACAGGCACTTGGCTGTGTCATTTGCCAAAACCTTCTCTCTCCAGAGGAATTGGGGTTGAAACACCTATATTTGCCCAGGCCTTAGGCAGTTGTGCATTATATTATTCATTTATTATTATATTTCCTCTTCCCCTTTTTCTTCTCTGCCCTGCTATTTTGTCCCTCTCAGTTTCTCTTCTCACCTTTCTCCATCAATCTTTTTTTGAATTACAACCAGCCTCTCACTTATATTCTCTCGCCCTTCTGTACCCATTTCCCTTTCCACGGTTCTCATTCCAAGGCTTTTCGGAATGGGTGGAGCACTGGCTTACATGCATGAGGTGCCTCTCTCTGGCACCTCCAATTAAAGGAAGAGCATGTCATGGGCAAAGCCTTTCTCATTCCAAGATTCTGGAGAGCTACTCTCAATGCAGAGTAGACAAGGGGTGGCCAACATGGTGAGCTTCATGGATTGTTGAACTCCATCCATCAGTGCTATCAGTCCCAGTCAGCCTGGCCAATTGGCATGGATGGCTGAACCATATGGAGAACCATATTGGGAACCTCTACAGCTGAGCACTCACTGGGCTTTATAGGTTCATATATGTTTATCTTCTACCATTTTGCCTTCCAATAATGCTTCTGACAAAGTGTGCAAGATCTAAGCAATGTATTTATTTCTAAAATAGTTTCAGGAGAGGGAGGAACCCAAAGATGTTGTTGTTCTAATTGCATCAATTTCTACAAGCCAGAAATGTGGTGAGTGGACAGAGGCATTGATCCGTAGTCATCATCATCTCCACCAACCAGAAAGAGTAATGATTATTGGGTGTTTCTGATTATTAACCAATGCTGCAAATATATCTGGAGAAATGCTGTATCTGGTTATTAAGCAGTTTTTGGAGTGCATTGTTCTGTGGGAGAAAGGAAGAGAAGAGTGTCAGGGAAAGTGGTAAGGAGGAAGAAAATGTGAGCAACTCATATGTATTTCTTTATTTGGAATCAGTGGCAGATGATGCCCATTGGGATTGGTGGCATGGGAGGCAGGGAGGCCAACAGCAGATGGAGCCAGAGCAAATGACAGCTGCAACCACAGCCAATGAGAGGCCCCCGCCTACTGAGCTCTACAGGGGCAACACTGGGATGAAGGAGGAAGCTCTCAAGGAGTTCCACTCCTTGGCTGGTGGTCAGTAAGAAGGTGGGCATGTGAAGACTCCCTAGAGGCAGACTAAGGCTGGTGGGACCGTGTCCTATTTGCCTCAATGGGTCAGCCACTGTGAGGAACATGTGTATCTCACCATTCTAGTTCAAAACTGAGCCACTCAACACAGTTAAGAAATGCAGAAATTTTGGGGGTGGGAAACAGAGCATATAAAAATTTATGCCAATGAAAGAAGAGCAGATAAAATAAACAACACAGAGGTGTAAAATCCAAAGAGCTGAAGCAGCCAAGTATACTGACAGCAGCAAGAAAAGGTTTTGATACGTGGCCAGGAAGGACGGGTCCTCACTAAGGTCTTGGGGGGAATATGAACCTTCAAATACGATAGCCACCTAGGCCAGCATCCCATGCATAACTTTTGGAGTGGGTTTTTTCCCCCAGTCTCCAGCCAAGTGGAAGCTGCCTCCTTGCAGCTGGGACTGAAGCTACTTTAATTCTAATTAATTGGAATCTGAGCCCCATAAGGCAGCCGAAGACAGAGTTGATAGACCCAACCAGGCCATTATCTAGAGCTGGGAACTAGGTAAAAAGGTAAAGGTAAAGGACCCCTGGACAGTTAAACCCAGTCAAAGGTGACTGTGGGGTTGGGGTGCTCATCTTGCTTCAGGCCGAGGGACCCGGCATTTGTCCACAGACAGCTTTCCAGTTCATGTGGCCAGCATGACTAAATAATAATAATATTAGTCATAATTTATTATTTATACCTCACCCATCTGGCTGGGTTTCCCTAGCCACTCTGGGTGGCTTCCAACAGAATATCAAAATGCAATAGTCTATTAAACATTAAAAGCTTCCCTAAACAGGGCTGCCTGCAGCTTCTGCTGCAATGGAAAACAATGATGAAGGCAGAGCACATGGAAATGCCATTCACCTTCCCACCGCAGCGGTACCTATTTATCTAATTGAACTGGTGTGCTTTTGAAATGCTAGATTGGCAGGAGCTCAGACAAAACAACGGTAGGTCACCCAGTTGCAGGGATCCGAACTCCCAGCCTTCTGATTGGCAAGCCCAAGAGGCTCAGTAGTTAGACCACAGTGCCACCCGCGTCCCTTAGCTGGTCTCTAGCCAGACCCTGCCCAGGAGCCAGAATTGCTGAAGTCCCACCACTCATACCACTCCAGCTGAGGGATGTAGAACAAACTAGCTAGGTCCAAATTGTCTGCTGCCCTTAGCAAATCAATCCCCCACTCAAATCCCAATAGCTTCAGGTGCTTTGATTATGATTAAGCATGGAAATCAGACCTCAGTTAATTCCAGTGATTTAACTACAGTGGTACCTCGGTTGTCGAACATAATCTGCTCCAGAAGAGCATTCGACTTCTGAAACTTTCGACAACCAAGGCGCAATGGACAGTCGGCAAATTCAATTGAGACAATTGAGAAATGAGCTTCAGTACCCGTTCGACTTCCAAGGTGCATTCAAATCGGAAGCATTTATTTCCAGGTTTTCGGTGAAAACCAAAATGTTGAACTGAAGCATTCAGCAAACGAGGTACCACTGTACTCAAACTGTAGTTGTGATCCAGATCTGTGAATCTCTCTGAGACTAACTATAGCTCCTCAGATTCTGTTTCACACAGAGACATTCATGCACACCTACAATAAAAAAATATTGAGATCAGGTTGCCTTACCGACGTTCCCAAAGTATTTGATGTGTGCCTCAGGATAGTTTTGCTCCAAAACTAATTTCTTGAATTTTTCTTTGATGTCATCTCCCACTTCTGATCCCCTAGCTTTAAACACAAGCAAAGGTTGAGTAAATTGTTATTCCCAGAAAGGCTGAAATATCTGTTTTATGTCTATAGAGCACCCAAAGTCTCTTCTTCCTGCCATCTTCTCTGGATTGTCCATTAGACAGTCAGGAACAGAACCCCCATGAAACCAGAGAAGAGGATCTAAGCAGGCCTGGCCAGACTTCGCCTTCTACATGTTTTGGGGCTACAATTCCCATCATCCCTGACCACTGGTCCTGCTAGCTAGGGATGATGGGAGTTGTAGTCCCAAAACATCTGGAGGGCCAAGTTTGGCCATGCCTGATCTAAAGGAACTGAAAGCCTACACAGGTGCTGACTGTCCCTATTTGCTAGTGGGAGGCTTTATGGTAGCTGCTCTTTCTGCTGGATCATTGTGAAGTGCTAAAGTGGCCATTATTTAGGGTTCAGCTCCCTTTTCCAAAAAAGATTCCTTTACCATGGGAAGCATTGATTATTCCATTAGCCACCTTTTGTTCTAGAAGATTATTGTAGTCAAGATTTTAAATAGGTTTTCCTCCTTCTTTTTAACTCTGTACAGTACAGATGACTGTTGACAGCAAAAAAGAGGGGGGTGTATATTAGCCAGATAAGTATAGATAAAGATATTCAATAATTTTGTATTCTATTTTTGTATGTTAACTAGAGCCGTAATTGGATTGAACAGAACTTAGGGTATCCTTCCATAAACTTAGGGTATCCGCCCAGATGTTTTAGGCAAAACCTTCCACCAGCCACCAAACTGTACTACAGGAGGAAAAGGCAGGACAGGGCCAGCTCCTTCAGCACAGCAGAGTGAGGAGCAGCACTGTTTGTGTGTGTGTGTGTGTGTGTGTGTGTGTGAGAGAGAGAGAGAGAGAGAGAGAGAGAGAGAGAGAGAGAGAGATTTGTAACTTCTTTGTGGCTGAAGAATGAGTTGAAAAACAACAACACTAACTAACTAACTAACTAACTAACTAACTAACTAATAAGCATCCTTTTTGCTGAACCACAGATATGCCACAGGGTGGAGTGAGGGTTATTGGTTTGTTTGTTTTATGTTGTGAACTGCTCTTAGATCTATGGGTGAAGAGCTGTATTTAATAAATAAAAATAAAATCCATTGCCATAACACATACCAGACAGATACATGGATTCGTGTTCTAATTTCTTCTTGTACATAATGACATACTTTTCATAATCAATATCCATGACTTTGGCAATACCATCTATACAGGAAACAACACAAGATATCAACTGAAGGATGCGGGTTCCTCATTTCTTGGCTGTTAGTGGAGGGGGGGCAGGCAAATGGGGATCAGCCAGTCTTAGTCACCTTAATTATTCATTCTTTCTCCCACCCCCTCATTAATATGTCTTCAGAATTTTAAGGGAGGTGAATCTCCATGACTTAATAAGTGTCCTGCCCACGTCCACTGCCACAGATTGCCCTCCCTAAAGCAGGCAGTGGGAACCACCATTCCTTCACCCCCACACATTTCATCTTGGTCCCTGTCTTACTTTCCCCCTCTTTTAGCCATGGTGTTAGGCATGGCAGACTCCCCTTAGCTCTTGAATCAGAGAAAAGGGCGTCCTTCTTAAAAGGAAGGTGTTTGTGTGGCCAAGGCTGCAAGTACTATGCTGAAAATCTAAAGTTAAATGTAAATGTTGACTAGTTACCATAGGAAATATATGATTATGTGGACACTTTCTCAACCCCTTCCCCAGAAGGCCTTGCTTTGAGGAAGGACACCCCCCCTGCCTCTTTCTCAATACAGTCATACCTCTAGTTGCGTTCGCTTCATGTTGTGTTTGCTTCATGTTGCAGATGCATTCTGCACGCTTCGCACATGCACAGAATGGCCGTGTGCACTCCATGCTTGCACAGAAGCAGCACTCTAGTTGCGGACTTTTCGGGATGCAAATGGCACCCCAGAACATATTGTGTCCACAACTAGACTTACCACTGTATGTGGCAGGGAGGAGGGGGGACCTTAGACCCTGTTTGGAGAGTAGCAGAGCAAGCAGGTTGCAGAGAGGCTCCAGACGGTGAGAACTCACCACCCCTTCTGCTCCTCCTTAACTTTGTTGAGAGCCGCCCACAGTGGCTGGGGTAACCCGGTCAGATGGATGGGATATAAGTAACAAAATTGTTGTTGTTGTTGTTGTTGTTGTTGTTGTTGTTGTTTGCCTGGCTCTGTTAAACTAGAACTTTTCCTGCGGCATCCCAAGGGCTTTGGAGAACCTCACTAGAAAAGCAAAAACTAGCTGTGTTGGTCCATTTCAAAAATAATAAAACCCTCTAGGTGAGCATTACATTTATTTCAGCCAATCCTAGTGTCAGGAAAGACTGGCCAACTTTTAAGTTCTCCAGCACTCTTCATCGAGCACAATATTACCAAAATAATGATTAATTCACCCACCCACCCACCCAAAAAACCAATCAGACTGGGATGATATATATGAGGGCAGCTTAAAGGATCAGTTGCAAGATAAAGATTGTAGGGTGACAGAGTCCCTTCCCAGTACCATACAGATCAGTTGTCTGGCTGCCGGGGATTCTGCAATAAAGAAGCAAAGACTGCTCCCCAGGTCTGAGAACATAGATCCCAGCTGTAACCCAGAACTCCCTTGTGCAGCCTTGAGTGAAATACTCAAGTTCCTCCTGGTTAAGCAGAGGGGAGATCAAAAGAGAAAACAGGAGTCTTCCATTTTGAAAAGCCCAAGATTAATTTTGGATGGCAACAAGGCAAATCATATCCTCCTAAGTAGGGAAGTGGAGGCATTGGTTTAACCATCTGCCATGAACCATAACTCAGGGGGTAAATCACTTCCTTTGAATGTGGAATGTCTCTGGTTCAATTCCTAATGTTGTGCAACTTAAAAGGATCCTGTCACTGGGATGGAAAGAGACTTCTGACACTGGGATGGAAAGAGCCACTGTCAGTTTGAGTGGGTCAAACTCAGGCAAACGGACAAATAGTTTTTGGCAGTTTCCTGTTACAGCGGTACCTCAGGTTACAGACGCTTCAGGTTACAGACTCCACTAACACAGAAATAGTACATCGGGTCAAGAACTTTGCTTCAGGATGAGAACAGAAATCACGTGGCAGCGATGCGACGGGAGCAGGAGACCCCATTAGCTAAGGTGGTACCTCAGGTTAAGAACAGTTTCAGGTTAAGAACAGACCTCCCGAACGAATTAAGTTCTTAACCCGAGGTACCACTGTACTGTGATGATTCTTTTACCAACCTTCATATCCTGCTCTTTTGCTCTCAGATCACAAAACGCAGATGGAGATTTAAAAATATTTATATGTTTTGTTTGAACTGAGGGAAAATCAGCTTGCAAAAGAAGGGTTTGCACAAGGTAAAGGACTTCCACATAACCAGACTGTTACGGACCTTTAACTCCTCATTTGCCCTTCCTATCTCTTTGTTATTTAGACTGATAGTCTTATGCTGCATCCTCTTTACAACCTCCTCCTCCTCCTCTCACTTCTCTCTTGAATCTCAAGATGAGAGGTCAGCTTGGAACGATCTTCCGAAAGAACTATGGAGCAAGCATAGCTGCCTTTGTTTTCTCTAGGCTACCTAGGTTTAGTGAGACCCAGGGCTTTCTTTTAAAAAAAAGTTTAGGGGTCCTCTCATATTCCTACTCATATTGAAATATTGCCCCCTCAGTGAGGCCAAACTTAGATTGACAAAATGTTTAAGGGTATGTGTACCCCTGTGTACCCCCCCAGAAAAAAGCACTGGCTAGACCTAGAAACCTTTTTCTAGGCAAGTTATGTATTTCCTAAAATAAACAACCTTATTGGTGGGTGAGTGATTGCACTGCTCTCCCCCTCATAACTCGATTTTGCACTCAAAAGAAATGGGAAAAGTAAATGGGAAAAAGAACAGATGTTTTAACATTTGCCCAAATCACAGCATCTGGATCTTCCGATCACAAAACATACTTTTTCATCAGGTAATAGGGTGGCTCATGGTAGTCATATTTACCAGGAAATTCGAATACACCAGGTTTGTCAGTGTGCTTGAACACAAGAGCTGATTGTTTGCAGACACCATCCCTGGAAAAGAGAGCTAAGTGAAAGCACTTCAAAACCAGATACCCAGCCTGCTTCCTGCCTTGCCTCCTCTACTTGTATTTTTTAGGGTGTCAGAGCCACTGATGGAAGAATACAGTACCAGTAAGATGCCTTAGACTTTACCAGAGGGAAGGATATCCAGAGTGTCAAGAGGAACGGCACCCTGTTGCTATCAATGCCTTCAAAATGAACAGGCCTTTTTGGAGGCCTCTACATTATCAAATGGTTTCCACAGGATTACTCAATGTCTCCATTGGCATTCCAGCTATGTTTTATTTATATCACTATGCCCAACCTAAGTGGCTCGTTATGATATATTAAGATAAAAAAGACCCCCCCCTAAAAAAGAGAGATAATAGGGGATGGGAAACATGTGGTCTTCCCTAAGAAGCAGCTCTGTACAAAATCTGGACATTTCTCCATCCAGCTCAATAATTTCTACACTGACTGGCAGTGCCAGAAACTTTATGCCCTTTCCAAAGCATCTCAAAACGATTTCAGGGGAAATCAGGGCTGTGGCTCAGTGGCAGAGCACCTGCTTTGCATGCACAAGGACCCCGGTTCAATCCCCAGCCTATGCATGATGGGAGGAGAGGTATCAGTTGTAAGGTACTAACGACATATAATTAGCGGTGAGTGTCATATCGGCATCCGAAACCTCCACCGTGTGGTCCATCGGTGATATTTTCTGCTCATACTCAGTCAACTCAGGCAACTTGGTAGCCATCCCGATGGGGTGCCACTTCCCGACAGTCTAAAATAGAAGAATTTTGATTGACATTTTATAGGGCAGAGAAAGTTGACAAGCAACCCACCTCATCTCTAGCATTTTCCTACCAGAGCTAGGAGCATGTATCAAAATCAGGCAGCTTGCTGATCACCAAGCTTGTGGGTCTGGGGGAGAGGAGAAGGGGGACACAAAAGCAACAAGGGCCTTTACTCAAGAGCAAAGCTGCTCTATGGGAATCCTATCTAGGTAAGGCTTCCCCATCCTGTTACTGTGGCTGAAAGTCCCATCTGTAAACGTCTTACCTTTTGGGGGTCAAAGTTTGGGTACACAGGGATGTCAGCACTGACAGGAAATATGTAGGCAGGGGTCAGTCCAAACACCATCAGCAGCACAGCAATCATCCTGGAGCTGGTTCTCTCCTGCTCTTACTGTGAACACCGTGTGCAGGGGGAGAGAATGATGGTCCAGGGTTTCAGCAGCCCAGTTTAAATATCTGTCTCCAAATGTCTTCAAAGCACATCCCACTCACCAACTTATGCCAAAGGGAAGAACAGAGTGGGAGCAACAGGGTTATTTTTGAAGGGAATTAGTTTTATTTGTGGTGTGGAACAAGGTGGAGTCTCCTTTGTGCTTCAGAAGAAGGGAACAAACATGCTTGTTCTCTTGGGTTGTTGAGGGGGATGTTCTTGAGGGGGGTGTTCAAGGCTGGCACATTCCCTTCCTGGGCAAGTACAGAGGTCACAGGTGCTCCATGGCATCTCCTCCTCCCGCCCCACCCCATCTCCACAAGCTGGCCCAGCCCTTAATGACTTGTGGTCTTTTCAGCAAAAGGAGTAGAAGACCTATCACAGAATGAAATACTTAAGCTTATCCAGGATATTACTTCACTGGACCACACATCCCAGGGACTGGTGGTGGGAACTGCCACCTCAAGAACCTGATCAGGCCCACCAAACTTTCCCCAGTGACAGCACTGCCCCAGGTAGGGGAATGTGCAGAAGACCAGCAGGTGAGGAACAATTGTCCTAACCATGGGTTGAAACTAGTACACCCAGCCCAGTGCCAAAATGGAAATATAGATCATCCCTTGCCACCCACCCTGCTCCCAAAATAGATCTGATGAGCGATGGGGAGATGGTCATCTAGTATTGTGGGAGAAATCCACCCTAAGCAGTTCATTCTGTGAAAAGCCTTCTTTTCTTTTTTTTTTTTTTGAAAAATTTTTTTATTAGTTTTACAAAATTTTAAGGAACAAACAAACACTTAAAAAGACATACAAACACGTATAATTTCATAATATTTTTCATAAACCTCTTTTCTAAGACTCCCCCGTACCCCCCCCTTTCTGCATCCCAATGTCCATAGTTTTGTAGCAACTCCCAATTGTTACTTTCCAACCTCTGTCCTTAGTTATCTCTGTAATCTGATCTTATATCACTGTATCCCTTTGTTCCTGAAAACCATAACACTCTAACATTCATCAAGTTTATAATAGTCCTTAAGATAACTTTTAAATTTTCTCCATTCTTCTTCCACCGTCTCTTTTCCTTGGTCACGGATTCTGCCTGTCATCTCGGCCAGTGTCATATAGTCCATCACTTTCATCTGCCATTCTTCCAGAGTGGGTAGATCTTGTGTCTTCCAATACTTTGCGATAAGTATTCTTGCTGCTGTTGTAGCATACATAAAAAAAGTTCTATCCCTCTTTGACACCAATTGGCCGACAATGCCCAAGAGAAAGGCCTCTGGTTTTTTAAGGAAAGTACTTTTAAGTACCTTTTTCATTTCATTATAGATCATTTCCCAGAAAGCCTTAATCTTCGGGCATGTCCACCAAAGGTGATAGAAGGTACCTTCAGTCTCTTTACATTTCCAACATTTGTTATCGGGCAAATGGTAAATTTTCGCAAGCTTGACTGGGGTCATGTACCACCTGTAAATCATTTTCATTATGTTTTCTCTTAAGGCATTACATGCCGTAAACTTAACACCGGTGGTCCATAACTGTTCCCAGTCAGCAAACATAATGTCATGACCAATATCTTGTGCCCATTTAATCATAGCTGATTTCACCGTTTCATCCTGTGTATTCCATTTCAGCAACAAGTTATACATTCTTGATAAATTCTTAGTATTGGGTTCTAACAGTTCAGTCTCTAGTTTTGATTTTTCCACCTGAAAGCCAATTTTCCTGTCCTGTTTGAAAAGCTCCATTATTTGATGATATTGAAGCCAATTTTGTACTTTATGTTTCAATTTCTCATAACTTTGTAATTTCCACTTATCTCCATCCTGTTCCAAGATTTCCCAATACTTCGGCCATCCGACCTCCATATTGAGTTTCTTTACTGCTTTAGCCTCCACTGGTGACACCCATCTAGGGGTTTTGTTTTCCAACAGATCTTTATATCTTATCCATACATTAAACAATGCTTTTCTAACAATGTGATTTTTAAAGGCACTATGCAGCTTGATTTTGTCATACCATAGATATGCATGCCAACCGAAAACATTGTTAAAACCTTCCAGATCCAAAATGTCTGTGTTCTCGAGGAGCATCCATTCTTTCAGCCAGCAAAAAGCTGCTGCCTCATAGTACAATTTTAAGTCCGGCAGGGCAAAACCCCCTCTTTCTTTAGCGTCTGTCAATATTTTAAATTTGATTCTGGGCTTTTTGCCCTGCCAGACAAATTTCGAAATATCTTTCTGCCACCTCTTAAAGCATTCCATCTTGTCAAGAATCTGCAAGGTCTGAAACAAAAATAACATTCTAGGCAATACATTCATTTTAATCACTGCAATTCGGCCTAACATTGACAATTTCAAATTTGACCATATTTCTAGATCTTTTTTGATCTCTGACCAACATTTTTCATAATTATCCTTATACAAATTCACATTTTTAGATGTCAAATAAACCCCTAGGTATTTCACCTTCTTAACCACCGTCAACCCTGTCTCCTCTTGGAATTTCTCCTTTTCCATATCTGTTAAATTTTTTCCTAAGACTTTGGTTTTTTGTTTATTCAACTTAAATCCAGCTACCTGGCCAAACTGTTGGATTATTTCTAGAACCTTTTTCGTACTAGTGTTTGGCTCTTGCAAAGTCAATACTGTCATCTGCAAATGCTCTTAACTTATAATGTTTAGCTCCGACCTGCACTCCTTTAACCTGCTGGTCTGAAAAGCCTTCTACCTCTTTTGTGGGGCAAGGGACGGTGGCAGATGTAAGTCTTTAAGCTCTGGGCAAACTTGGGTGAGGGGAGGAAGGCAATGCCTCAGAGATCATGTTATCTTTGCACCCATCCAGGAATGGAATGTGCCAGCCTTCAAAAACATCCCCCTCAACATCCCAAGAGAACAAGCATGTTTGTTCCCTTCTTCTGAAGCACAAAGGAGTCTCCACAGGCTTTGATCAAATGCCAAATGGCCACTTGGGCAAGACGAATCTCCAGCCACATCTTTGTACGTGAGAAGGGAGGAAATAAAAAGTAGTGATGTTATTCCTCTATAGGCTGCCATTGAAGGTCACTCCTCTTAGTTGCTGCAATGTACCTTGTTCCACCCACCCCACAAATAAACCAATTCCCTTTTAAAAAAATAGGCCTGTTAAGTAGCATCTGTGTGGAGACAGCATTGACATAGTTGGCATAACAGAAATCTGGTGGAACACAGAGAATCTGTGTGACACAGATTCAGGTAGGTAGCCGTGTTGGTCTGATGCAGTAGAAATAGATAGATGATAGATAGATAGATGATAGATTAGATAGATAGATAGATAGATAGATAGATAGATAGATAGATGATAGATAGATAGATAGAGTCCAGTAGCACCTTAGAGACCAACTAAATTTGTTCTTGGTATGAGCTTTTGTGTGCATGCACGCTTCTTCAGATACACTGAAAAAGAAGTCACCAGACCTTTATATATAGTGAGAGGGTGGGGAAGGGTATTACTCAGAAGGGTGGTGAGAATGGGTGAAAGGGAAGAATCCAAAACAGAAGGCATTGTAGCAATGGATGAGTTCAACTACCCTCACTATTTTCTTTCATGATAGTTTTGCAAACAAGTAATGGTGGTGGGGGGACGCGGGTGGCGCTGTGGGTAAAAGCCTCAGCGCCTAGGGCTTGCCAATCGAAAGGTCGGCGGTTCGAATCCCCGCAGCAGGGTGCGCTCCCGTCGCTCGGTCCCAGCGCCTGCCAACCTAGCAGTTCGAAAGCACCCCCGGGTGCAAGTAGATAAATAGGGACCGCTTACCAGCGGGAAGGTAAATGGTGTTTCCGTGTGCAGCTCTGGCTTGCCAGAGCAGCGATATCACGCTGGCCACGTGACCCGGAAGTGTCTCCAGACAGCGCTGGCCCCCGGCCTCTTCAGTGAGATGGGCGCACAACCCTAGAGTCTGTCAAGACTGGCCTATACGGGCAGGGGTACCTTTACCCTTACATTTACCTTTAATGGTGGTGGGGGCGGGGGCTTTACACTTCACAAACATTGTCCACCCCAAAATGAAGCACATTTATCATGGGAATTGGGGTTGCTTGTGTGTAAACCTCCAACTGCTCCAAACTGCTTGGGGTGGTTGCGCCTTTCCCTGGCTGAGCAGCCCTTTTGCACGGCTGCGTCAGTCGCTGGCAGAATCCGTCAGTGGGCGTTTCCTGAACTTCTTCCAGCATAAAAATTCCTTAACGGACAACCTCCTCCTCGCCTCTCTGCGCGGAAGTCTTCTGCGCAGAGTGGACGTGCCAAGCGGTGGTCCTCCACTCTCCTCACTGACCTCACTGGAAGAGTCTCGGAGCCTCCCCTCCGAAGTGCTCTCAGCCTCTCCTTTCTTCCTGGTATCACCTGGACTTCCTTCCCCAGCGGAAGCTCTCTCTCTTCCCTTACTGGTTCCCTCTCCGGCATCATCGGGGAGCCTAACCTCTCCACTCTGCTCCGATGTCAGTTCCCTGACAACATTGATATTTCATTATTTATAATATTTGTAAGTTGCCCCATAACAGGATGTTTTCCAGGCAGCTTTCCAACCACAGAATAAAGCAAATTAAAATTCATTGATGGCAAAATAAAAGTGAACAATACAAAAATAATACAGCCTAAAACTCATGCAATGATTTTGCAAAGTTTTTTTGCAGATAAAGTCGCTCAGATTCGGAAAGAGGTAGACTCCATCGTGGGAGCAGGGCCGGGGCGGGAGAGTGCGAGAGTCCTGTCTAGTCAAGTTGCGTGGGATCAATTCCAATCTGTTACCTCCGAGGATGTGGACAGGCTGCTTGGACGAGTGAAACCAACCACCTGTCTCCTTGATCCTTGCCCATCCTGGCTTATAAAAGCTAGCCGGGAAGGGCTGGGTGATGGGCTTCGTGGGGTGGTGAATGCTTCCCTCCATGAGGGAGCCTTCCCAGACCCGCTGAAAGAGGCGGTTATTAAACCGCCTCTTAAAAAACCATCTTTAGATGCGGCCACGATGGCCAACTATC